TCTGGAGTTTAGAGACTCTGACATGAAGCAGGCTTTCCTTACTGAGGAGTTAGCAACGCTGCTAAGGGTGCAGAGCCACACATGCGCTCAGAGCTCTGCATGGGAGACTGAAGCTGACAGAGCTGCAGCAGTTAGCAGGTTTCACCCTCAGAGACCACCAGGGGTTCATGTTGAGGCATTTTAATTTTTTTTTTTTTTTGTGCCATAGACACTGTCAGCACAATCTGCAGTTACACTAACAAAAATGCTGCAAAAAACAAAGAATTATGGAAAAATTACACATGGACTGACATAGAGGAGGATCTACACAAGTTTTTTACATCATGTTTTACATCATGCATCATTTACATCATGTTTTTTTGTAGTGGCATAAATAAAAAGTGACATTTGTGAGACTATACAGTGTTTTGTAAATAATTTTACAAAGAACGCCTGGGCCATTGCCTGCATTTTGATGTAAATAGAGGTAAATCACTATGTTCTTTGTTAAAAATTTGCATATGTTTTGAAGTTTACAATTTTTATTTGAAGTTTAAGTTTTAAAAACAGTTCATCACACATATTTGTGGTTTTCACAGTAAAAATGTTACTTTTTTCCACTCGGATTTTATGTTTTGTGTGTGAATTTGGGTCCATTGTGTAAATTCAGTATGTCAACATGATAAAATAACTGTAAATTCGCACAGGTGAGGTTGTGCTGAAAAAAATGATACCAGGCAAGGCACGTGATTGTCAAATTTTGTGTCAATATGACAAAGCGTATAGGCGTGAATCTCAACAATATGTATTTTCACCTTAGGGGACAAGAAAAAATGGACTTTTTTCTCCTGCCATGGGGGGCGCTCTTTTGGGGAGTAAAAATTCCTTCACAAATGTGTTGATGGCTGGACATTGCATCATCCTAGAAAACTTGGAGGCCAGTGAGGACAAAAATAAAAAGTTATAAGACTTTTAAATATGTGGATTTTAGGGTTATCTTTGGCGCCCCCTAGAACCTAAACCGTGGGGTGCAGCGTCATGATTTGAATAACTTTTAATGGCCATGGGGTGTAGATTGGCCTGAGCAAATGTGGTGCCGGTGGAACGAAAGCCTTCGGAGGAGTTAGCGAAATTCCAATGTGTGCGGATCGGCAAAAAATGCGAAATAACCCTTTAACCGTACATTAGACAGATACGCGCGCTTGGACTTTTTTGTAGATCTTATTGAGATACATGTGTGTGTCAATTTTTGTGTCATTTTGACAAAGCGTACAGGCGTGACAGTCAATAGTGTGAATTTTCACCTTAGGGGACAAGAAAAAATGGACTTTTTTCTCCTGCCATGGGGGGGCGCTCTTTTGGGGAGTAAAAATTCCTTCACAAATGTGTTGATGGCTGGACATTGCATCATCCTAGAAAACTTGGAGGCCAGTGAGGGCAAAAATAAAAAGTTATAAGACTTTTAAATATGTGGATTTTAGTGTTATCTTTGGCGCCCCCTAGAACCTAAACCGTGGGGTGCAGCGTCATGATTTGAATAACTTTTAATGGCCATGGGGTGTAGATTGGCCTGAGCAAATGTGGTGCCGGTGGAACGAAAGCCTTCGGAGGAGTTAGCGAAATTCCAATGTGTGCGGATCGGCAAAAAATGCGAAATAACCCTTTAACCGTACATTTGACAGATACGCCCGCACTGACTTTTTTGTAGATCTTATTGAGATACATGTGTGTGTCAATTTTTGTGTCATTTTGACAAAGCGTACAGGCGTGACAGTCAATAGTGTGAATTTTCACCTTAGGGGGCGCTATGGAGCCATTTTGCATTTTCTTGTTTGGGCGACTTCGGAATATCAAATTTTTCACCAGGCCCGGTCGTCCTGCCAAATTTCATGAGTTTTCGCCAGTGGGAAGTGGGCCATTTTCCAGTTCAAAGGGGAGGAAAAATAATAATAATAACAAAAGAAGGAAACTACAGGAACAAGAGGGCTCTCGCAGCTGCTTAGCAGCTACGCTCGGGCCCTAAAGAAGAAACTAGGACCCCGTTGGGGCACTGGCGGGCCCGAGCCGTGTCGCGTCTCCCCCCCCCCCAACGTGCTGCCTCCCCGTCCCATTTGTGTCCTCTGGCCATCGCCCTCTCTGTTAACGCCCATCACTGCAAAGACCCTTTTCCTTCATCGGCGTTTACTGTTCTTCCTGCCAGTGCGTGTTGCTTTCACTTACACTTGCCACAGCCAGCCTCGTGAGTGCCTAGCCTATTGGATATCACTGTCACCTACACAGGACAGTCATTACCTTTCTATTAGTACTTTGTGTTTTAATTTCACATTAATTTCCATATTGTATAAACGACTGGAAAAAACTTGAGCCCCTGCCCCTGTATAATCATGTGCATGTCTCTGTTCTAGCTCCAAGGTGAATCTTCACTGCTCATGTTCTCCTCAGAAGCACTCACCTCACTCCCCTCAGGTTACTGTACACATGCACCAACTGCCTGCTTCAGGTTTGGATGGAGCTTCATGGTTGTCTTTTGGAGAAATGACCAGTCAAGTTGTGTTTGAAATTTGATTTTTTTCAGGGGCAAAAGGAGCCTCTGCATTCTTGTCAAATATGTAAATAGCATGTTTTTGCAGGTGCTAAAAACCAGACTCTGAGTGTGTGTGTGTGTGTGTGTGTGTGTGTGTGTGTGTGTGTGTGTGTGTGTGTGTGTGTGTGTGTGTGTGCGTGTGTGTGTGTCTATGTGTGCGTTCAAGTCACATGACATATTTAACCGGATGTAGCTGCAACACACCACAACATCTCTCCTATTGGTGGAAAACTTCACCACAACAACCAATCCAAAATTATATGGTGACTGATTGACAAGGGGCGGGCGCTTACGTTCTTCCTGCAACATGAGAAGGGAGGGAGGGACTCTCAGCAGGGATGCAGTCTGGGACACGTAGTTGCAAACCTAGCGACTTTGTTGTTAGATTCAATGACTTTTCAGACACCCTAACGACTTTTTTTTAGAAAGAAAGGGACTTTTATCGACTTCTTCTGGAGTTTAGAGACTCTGACATGAAGCAGGCTTTCCTTACTGAGGAGTTAGCAACGCTGCTAAGGGTGCAGAGCCACACATGCGCTCAGAGCTCTGCATGGGAGACTGAAGCTGACAGAGCTGCAGCAGTTAGCAGGTTTCACCCTCAGAGACCACCAGGGGTTCATGTTGAGGCATTTTAATTTTTTTTTTTTTTTTGCCATAGACACTGTCAGCACAATCTGCAGTTACACTAACAAAAATGCTGCAAAAAACAAAGAATTATGGAAAAATTACACATGGACTGACATAGAGGAGGATCTACACAAGTTTTTTACATCATGTTTTACATCATGCATCATTTACATCATGTTTTTTTGTAGTGGCATAAATAAAAAGTGACATTTGTGAGACTATACAGTGTTTTGTAAATAATTTTACAAAGAACGCCTGGGCCATTGCCTGCATTTTGATGTAAATAGAGGTAAATTACTATGTTCTTTGTTAAAAATTTGCATATGTTTTGAAGTTTACAATTTTTATTTGAAGTTTAAGTTTTAAAAACAGTTCATCACACATATTTGTGGTTTAATTTCACATTAATTTCCATATTGTATAAATGACTGGAAAAAACTTGAGCCCCTGCCCCTGTATAATCATGTGCACGTCCCTGTTCTAGCTCCAAGGTGAATCTTCACTGCTCATGTTCTCCTCAGAAATAGTCACCTCACTCCCCTCAGGTTACTGTACACATGCACCAACTATCTGCTTCAGGTTTGAAATGGAGCTTCATGGTTGTCTTTTGGAGAAATGAACAGTCAAGTTGTGTTTGAAATTTGATTTTTTTCAGGGGCAAAAGGAAGCCTCTGCATTCTTGTCAAATATGTAAACAGCATGTTTTTGCAGGTGCTAAAAAACAGACTCTGAGTGTGTGTGTGTGTCTGTGTGTGTGTGTGTGTGTGTGTGTGTGTGTATGTTGGCGTGTGTGTATCCTGCAGTACTCTGTACTCCTGCAGTGGCCAAAAAGACTTTTAAGAATGTGGATTTTTGGGTCATCTTTGGCGCCCCCTAGAACTGCAGTACTCTGTACTCCTGCAGTGGCCAAAATGACTTTTAAGAATGTGGATTTTTGGGTCATCTTTGGCGCCCCCTAGAACGTAAACCGTGGGGTGCAGCGTCATGATTTTTACAACTTTGAATGGGCATGGGGTGTAGATTGCCCTGAGCAAATTTGGTATCGGTGGGACGAAAGCCTTAGGAGGAGATAGCCACATTCCAATGTGTGCGAATCGGCAAAAAATGCAAAATAGCCCTTTAACCGTACATTATACAGATACGCGCTTTTTGACTTTTTCGTAGATCTAATTGAGATACACATGATTGTCAATTTTTGTGTCAATATGACAAAGCGTTCAGGCGTGACACTCAACAATGTGTATTTTTATGTAAGGGGACAAGAAAAAATGGACTTTTTTCTCCTGCCATGGGGGGCGCTCTTTTGGGGAGTAAAAATTCCTTCACAAATGTGTTGATGGCTGGACATTGCATCATCCTAGAAAACTTGGAGGCCAGTGAGGACAAAAATAAAAAGTTATAAGACTTTTAAATATGTGGATTTTAGGGTTGTCTTTGGCGCCCCCTAGAACCTAAACCGTGGGGTGCAGCGTCATGATTTGAATAACTTTTAATGGCCATGGGGTGTAGATTGGCCTGAGCAAATGTGGTGCCGGTGGAACGAAAGCCTTCGGAGGAGTTAGCGAAATTCCAATGTGTGCGGATCGGCAAAAAATGCGGAATAACCCTTTAACCGTACATTTGACAGATACGCACGCATTGACTTTTTCGTAGATCTTATTGAGTTACATGTGTGTGTCAATTTTTGTGTCATTTTGACAAAGCGTATAGGCGTGACACTCAACAATGTGTATTTTCACCTTAGGGGACAAGAAAAAATGGACTTTTTTCTCCTGCCATCGGGGAGCGCTCTTTTGGGGAGTAAAAATTCCTTCACAAATGTGTTGATGGCTGGACATTGCATCATCCTAGAAAACTTGGAGGCCAGTGAGGGCAAAAATAAAAAGTTATAAGACTTTTAAATATGTGGATCTTAGGGTTATCTTTGGCGCCCCCTAGAACCTAAACCATGGGGTGCAGCGTCATGATTTGAATAACTTTTAATGGCCATGGGGTGTAGATTGGCCTGAGCAAATGTGGTGCCGGTGGAACGAAAGCCTTCGGAGGAGTTAGCGAAATTCCAATGTGTGCGGATCGGCAAAAAATGCGAAATAACCCTTTAACCGTACATTTGACAGATACGCCCGCACTGACTTTTTTGTAGATCTTATTGAGATACATGTGTGTGTCAATTTTTGTGTCATTTTGACAAAGCGTACCGGCGTGACAGTGAATAGTGTGAATTTTCACCTTAGGGGGCGCTATGGAGCCATTTTGCATTTTCTTGTTTGGGCGACTTCGGAATATCAAATTTTTCACCAGGCCCGGTCGTCCTGCCAAATTTCATGAGTTTTCGCCAGTGGGAAGTGGGCCATTTTCCAGTTCAAAGGGGAGGAAAAATAACTAGGACCCCGTTGGGGCACTGGCGGGCCCGAGCTGTGTCGCGTCCCCCCCCCAACGCGCTGCCTCCCCGTCCCATTTGTGTCCTCTGGCCATCGCCCTCTTTGGTAACGCCCATCACTGCAAAGACCCTTTTCCTTCATCGGCGTTTGCTGTTCTTCCTGCCAGTGCGTGTTGCTTTCACTTACACTTGCCACAGCCAGCCTCGTGAGTGCCTAGCCTATTGGATATCACTGTCACCTACACAGGACAGTCATTACCTTTCTATTAATACTTTGTTTTTTAATTTCACATTAATTTCCAAATTGTATAAACGACTGGAAAAAACTTGAGCCCCTGCCCCTGTATAATCATGTGCACGTCTCTGTTCTAGCTCTAAGGTAAATCTTCACTGCTCATGTTCTCCTCAGAAGCAGTCACCTCACTCCCCTCAGGTTACTGTACACATGCACCAACTGCCTGCTTCAGGTTTGGATGGAGCTTCATGGTTGTCTTTTGGAGAAATGACCAGTCAAGTTGTGTTTGAAATTTGATTTTTTTCAGGGGCAAAAGGAGCCTCTGCATTCTTGTCAAATATGTAAATAGCATGTTTTTGCAGGTGCTACAAACCAGACTCTGAGTGTGTGTGTGTGCGTGTCTGTGTGTGTGTGTGAGTGTGTGCGTTAAAGTCACATGACATATTTAACCGGATGTAGCTGCAAGACGGAGCCTCGTTGACTCTCCGTTTCAATTTATCTCAAAAGTGAGGACCTCAACCTATATACCAGTTTTTAAATTGTGTTGATAGGCCAAATAAAACCAGAGTTATGATAAATTATGTCCGCGATACTTGTTTTCTGCTTATTTTGATCACGTTCGGCGCTCGATCGCGCTGTATGAGACAGGAAAACATAGCATGCAGACATTAGCGACAGGTCTTACAGGCGGAAAAGGCTTGCCAAAGGAAAAAAAATACACACCACAACATCTCTCCTATTGGTGGAAAACTTCACCATAACAACCAATCCAAAATTATATGGTGACTGATTGACAAGGGGCGGGAACTTACGTTCTTCCTGCAATATGAGAAGGGAGGGAGGGACTCTCAGCAGGGATGCAGTCTGGGACACGTAGTTGCAAACCTAGCGACTTTGTTGTTAGATTCAATTACTTTTCAGACCCCCTAACGACTTTTTTTTAGAAAGAAAGGGACTTTTATCGACTTCTTCTGGAGTTTAGAGACTCTGACATGAAGCAGGCTTTCCTTACTGAGGAGTTAGCAACGCTGCTAAGGGTGCAGAGCCACACATGCGCTCCGAGCTCTGCATGGGAGACTGAAGCTGACAGAGCTGCAGCAGTTAGCAGGTTTCACCCTCAGAGACCACCAGGGGTTCATGTTGAGGCATTTTCAGTTTTTTTTTTTTTTTTTTTGCCATAGACACTGTCAGCACAATCTGCAGTTACACTAACAAAAATGCTGCAAAAAACAAAGAATTATGGAAAAATTACACATGGACTAACATAGAGGAGGATCTACACAAGTTTTTTACATCATGTTTTACATCATGCATCATTTACATCATGTTTTTTTGTAGTGGCATAAATAAAAAGTGACATTTGTGAGACTATACAGTGTTTTGTAAATAATTTTACAAAGAACACCTGGGCCATTGCCTGCATTTTGATGTCAATAGAGGTAAATTACTATGTTCTTTGTTAAAAATTTGCATATGTTTTGAAGTTTACAATTTTTATTTGAAGTTTAAGTTTTAAAAACAGTTCATCACACATATTTGTGGTTTTCACAGTAAAAACGTTACTTTTTTCCACTCGGATTTTATGTTTTGTGTGTGAATTTGGGTCCAATGTGTAAATATAGTATGTCAAAATGATAAAATAACTGTAAATTGACACAGGTGAGGTTGTGCTGAAAAAAATGATACCAGGCAAGGCAAGGTAAAAATTTTGTAAGAGGAAATATAAAGGTAAAATCTAAAGTAGTCAAAAACGGCCAATAGTGACTCACAGACTCCACAGACAAGTCCCTTTGGCGCCACTCAGTGGGCAAAACTACTTTGTCTACTGTAATGTATATTTGGGTCATCTTTGGCGCCCCCTAAAACGTAAACCGTGGGGTGCAGCGTCATGATTTTTACAACTTTGAATGGCCATGGAGTGTAGATTGGCCTGAGCAAATTTGGTGTCAGTGGGACGAAAGCCTTAGGAGGAGTTAGCGAAATTCCAATGTGTGCGAATCGGCAAAAAATGCAAAATAGCCCTTTTACCGTACATTATACAGATACGCGCTCTTTGACTTTTTCGTAGATCTAATTGAGATACACATGATTGTCAATTTTTGTGTCATTTTGCCAAAGCGTACAGGCGTGACAGTCAACAATGTGTATTTTCACCTTAGGGGACAAGAAAAAATGGACTTTTTTCTCCTGCCATGGGGGGGCGCTCTTTTAGGGAGTAAAAATTCCTTCACAAATGTGTTGATGGCTGGACATTGCATCATCCTAGAAAACTTGGAGGCCAGTGAGGACAAAAATAAAAAGTTATAAGACTTTTAAATATGTGGATTTTAGGGTTATCTTTGGCGCCCCCTAGAGCCTAAACCGTGGGGTGCAGCGTCATGATTTGAATAACTTTTAATGGCCATGGGGTGTAGATTGCCCTGAGCAAATTTGGTATCGGTGGGACGAAAGCCTTAGGAGGAGATAGCCACATTCCAATGTGTGCGAATCGGCAAAAAATGCAAAATAGCCCTTTAACCGTACATTATACAGATACGCGCTCTTTGACTTTTTCGTAGATCTTATTGAGATACACGTGATTGTCAATTTTTGTGTCAATATGACAAAGCGTACAGGCGTGACACTCAACAATGTGTATTTTTATGTAAGGGGACAAGAAAAAATTGACTTTTTTCTCCTACCATGGGGGGGCGCTCTTTTGGGGAGTAAAAATTCCTTCACAAATGTGTTGATGGCTGGACATTGCATCATCCTAGAAAACTTGGAGGCCAGTGAGGACAAAAATAAAAAGTTATAAAACATTTAAGAATGTGGATTTTAGGGTTGTCTTTGGCGCCCCCTAGAACCTAAACCGTGGGGTGCAGCATCATGATTTGAATAACTTTTAATGGCCATGGGGTGTAGATTGGCCTAAGCAAATGTGGTGCCGGTGGACAGAAAGCCTTCGGAGGAGTTAGCGAAATTCCAATGTGTGCGGATCGGCAAAAAATGCGGAATAACCCTTTAACCGTACATTTGACAGATACGCGCGCATTGACTTTTTCGTAGATCTTATTGAGTTACATGTGTGTGTCAATTTTTGTGTCATTTTGACAAAGCGTACAAGGCGTGACAGTCAACAATGTGTATTTTCACCTTAGGGGACAAGAAAAAATGGAGTTTTTTCTCCTGCCATGGGGGGGCGCTCTTTTGGGGAGTAAAAATTCCTTCACAAATGTGTTGATGGCTGGACATTGCATCATCCTAGAAAACTTGGAGGCCAGTGAGGACAAAAATAAAAAGTTATAAGACTTTTAAATATGTGGATTTTAGTGTTATCTTTGGCGCCCCCTAGAACCTAAACCGTGGGGTGCAGCGTCATGATTTGAATAACTTTTAATGGCCACGGGGTGTAGATTGGCCTGAGCAAATGTGGTGCCGGTGGAACGAAAGCCTTCGGAGGAGTTAGCGAAATTCCAATGTGTGCAGATCTGCAAAAAATGCAAAATAACCCATAAACCGTACATTTGACAGATACGCCCGCACTGACTTTTTTGTAGATCTTATTGAGATACATATGTGTGTCAATTTTTGTGTCAATATGACAAAGCGTACAGGCGTGACAGTCAATAGTGTGAATTTCCACCTTAGGGGGCGCTATGGAGCCATTTTGCATTTTATTGTTTGGGCGACTTCAGAATATCGAATTTTTCACCAGGCCCGGTCGTCCTGCCAAATTTCCTGAGTTTTCGCCAGTGGGAAGTGGGCCATTTTCCAGTTCAAAGGGGAGGAAAAAGAAGAAAGAAAGAAAGAAAGAAACAAAGAAAAACCCCTTGGGGAATAATAGGGCTCTCGCAGCTGCTTAGCAGCTACGCTCGGGCCCTAATAATAATAACAAAAGAAGGAAACTACAGGAACAAGAGGGCTCTCGCAGCTGCTTAGCAGCTACGCTCGGGCCCTAACTAGGACCCCGTTGGGGCACTGGCGGGCCCGAGCTGTGTCGCGTCCCCCCCCCCAACGCGCTGCCTCCCCGTCCCATTTGTGTCCTCTGGCCATCGCCCTCTCTGGTAACGCCCATCACTGCAAAGACCCTTTTCCTTCATCGGCATTTGCTGTTCTTCCTGCCAGTGCGTGTTGCTTTCACTTAAACTTGCCACAGCCAGCCTCGTGAGTGCCTAGCCTATTGGATATCACTGTCACCTACACAGGACAGTCATTACCTTTCTATTAATACTTTGTTTGTTAATTTCACATTAATTTCCATATTGTATAAACAACTGGAAAAAACTTGAGCCCCTGCCCCTGTATAATCATGTGCACGTCTCTGTTCTAGCTCTAAGGTGAATCTTCACTGCTCATGTTCTCCTCAGAAGCAGTCACCTCACTCCCCTCAGGTTACTGTACACATGCACCAACTGCCTGCTTCAGGTTTGGATGGAGCTTCATGGTTGTCTTTTGGAGAAATGACCAGTCAAGTTGTGTTTGAAATTAGATTTTTTTTCAGGGGCAAAAGGAGCCTCTGCATTCTTGTCAAATATGTAAATAGCATGTTTTTGCAGGTGCTAAAAACCAGACTCTGAGTGTGTGTGTGTGTGTGCGTGTGTGTGTGTGTCTGTGTGTGTGTGTGTGTGTGTGTGTGTGTGTGTGTGTGCGTTCAAGTCACATGACATATTTAACCGGATGTAGCTGCAAGACGGAGCCTCGTTGACTCTCCGTTTCAACTTATCTCAAAAGTGAGGACCTCAACCTATATACCAGTTTTTAAATTGTGTTGATAGGCCAAATAAAACCAGAGTTATGATAAATTATGTCCGCGATACTTTTTTTCTGCTTATTTTGATCACGTTCGGCGCTCGATCGCGCTGTATGAGACAGGAAAACATAGCATGCAGACATTAGCGACAGGTCTTACAGGCGGAAAAGGCTTGCCAAAGGAAAAAAAAAAACACACCACAACATCTCTCCTATTGGTGGAAAACTTCACCACAACAACCAATCCAAAATTATATGGTGACTGATTGACAAGGGGCGGGCGCTTACGTTCTTCCTGCAATATGAGAAGGGAGGGAGGGACTCTCAGCAGGGATGCAGTCTGGGACACGTAGTTGCAAACCTAGCGACTTTGTTGTTAGATTCAATGACTTTTCAGACCCCCTAACGACTTTTTTTTAGAAAGAAAGGGACTTTTATCGACTTCTTCTGGAGTTTAGAGACTCTGACATGAAGCAGGCTTTCCTTACTGAGGAGTTAGCAACGCTGCTAAGGGTGCAGAGCCACACATGCGCTCCGAGCTCTGCATGGGAGACTGAAGCTGACAGAGCTGCAGCAGTTAGCAGGTTTCACCCTCAGAGACCACCAGGGGTTCATGTTGAGGCATTTTCAGTTTTTGTTTTTTTTGCCATAGACTGTCAGCACAATCTGCAGTTACACTAACAAAAATGCTGCAAAAAACAAAGAATTATGGAAAAATTACACATGGACTGACATAGAGGAGGATCTACACAAGTTTTTTACATCATGTTTTACATCATTCATCATTTACATCATGTTTTTTTTGTAGTGGCATAAATAAAAAGTGACATTTGTGAGACTATACAGTGTTTTGTAAATAATTTTACAAAGAACGCCTGGGCCATTGCCTGCATTTTGATGTAAATAGAGGTAAATTACTATGTTCTTTGTTAAAAATTTGCATATGTTTTGAAGTTTACAATTTTTATTTGAAGTTTAAGTTTTAAAAACAGTTCATCACACATATTTGTGGTTTAATTTCACATTAATTTCCATATTGTATAAATGACTGGAAAAAACTTGAGCCCCTGCCCCTGTATAATCATGTGCACGTCCCTGTTCTAGCTCCAAGGTGAATCTTCACTGCTCATGTTCTCCTTCCCTCAGGTTACTGTACACATGCACCAACTATCTGCTTCAGGTTTGGATGGAGCTTCATGGTTGTCTTTTGGAGAAATGAACAGTCAAGTTGTGTTTGAAATCTGATTTTTTTCAGGGGCAAAAGGAAGCCTCTGCATTCTTGTCAAATATGTAAACAGCATGTTTTTGCAGGTGCTAAAAAACAGACTCTGAGTGTGTGTGTGTGTGTGTGTGTGTGTGTGTGTGTGTGTGTGTGTGTGTGTGTGTGTGTGTGTGTGTGTGTGTGTGTGTGTGTGTGTGTGTGTGTGTGTGTGTGTATGTGTGTGTATCCTGCAGTACTCTGTACTCCTGCAGTGGCCAAAATGACTTTTAAGAATGTGGATTTTTGGGTCATCTTTGGCGCCCCCTAGAACGTAAACCGTGGGGTGCAGCGTCATGATTTTTACAACTTTGAATGGGCATGGGGTGTAGATTGCCCTGAGCAAATTTGGTATCGGTGGGACGAAAGCCTTAGGAGGAGATAGCCACATTCCAATGTGTGCGAATCGGCAAAAAATGCGAAATAGCCCTTTAACCGTACATTATACAGATACGCGCTTTTTGACTTTTTCGTAGATCTAATTGAGATACACATGATTGTCAATTTTTGTGTCAATATGACAAAGCGTTCAGGCGTGACACTCAACAATGTGTATTTTCATGTAAGGGGACAAGAAAAAATTGACTTTTTTCTCCTGCCATGGGGGGGCGCTCTTTTGGGGAGTAAAAATTCCTTCACAAATGTGTTGATGGCTGGACATTGCATCATCCTAGAAAACTTGGAGGGCAGTGAGGACAAAAATAAAAAGTTATAAGACTTTTAAGAATGTGGATTTTGGGTTATCTTTGGCGCCCCCTAGAACGTAAACCGTGGGGTGCAGCGTCATGATTTGTACAACTTTTAATGGCCATGGGGGGTAGATTGGCCTGCGCAAATGTGGTGCCGGTCGAACGAAAGCCTTCGGAGGAGTTAGCGAAATTCCAATGTGTGCAGATCTGCAAAAAATGCAAAATAACCCATTAACCGTACATTTGACAGATACGCCCGCACTGACTTTTTTGTAGATCTTATTGAGATACATGTGTGTGTCAATTTTTGTGTCAATATGACAAAGCGTACAGCCGTCATGTGAATTTTCACCTTAGGGGGCGCTTTGGAGCCATTTTGCATTTTATTGTTTGGGCGACTTCAGAATATCGAATTTTTCACCAGGCCCGGTCGTCCTGCCAAATTTCCTGAGTTTTCGCCAGTGGGAAGTGGGCCATTTTCCAGTTTAAAGCGGAGGAAAAATAATAACGAAAGAAGGAAACATGCAGGAACAAGAGGGCTCTCGCAGCTGCTTAGCAGCTACGCTCGGGCCCTAAGAAGAATCCATCAGGAATAATAGGGCTCTCGCAGCTGCTTAGCAGCTACGCTCGGGCCCTAAAGAAGAATCCATCAGGAACAAGAGGGCTCTCGCAGCTGCTTAGCAGCTACGCTCGGGCCCTAAATACTGTAATCATTTGTGATCATTTCAAAGCTTCTTGGCTTTGAAATGATCAAAACTTAAGTCAAATTTGGTGCTCTTATTGGTCAAAGTGGTACCTCTTGTCCTCTTGTTGGGATTCTTGAAGCTAAATCATGCTTCCCTTTTGGCTGTGAAACATATCACCAGGGTTGTGCAAGTTCATCCTTAAAATGAGCCAGTTATGTTCAGTTCAAATAACCATTTTAAAGCAAAAGAAATCCAAGTTGAGTAAGTTTTACCATTTACACTTGAGAGAAATCTGCAGCTTTGGAAACATGTGGACACATAACTACAAATTGTTGGCTAAACATTTGGCTAAAAAAATAAAATTAAATGAGTGTAGGTAGGCTTTAACAAACCATAAAATAAAAAGAGTGTGGTAAAGAAACACACGTGAGCAAAAAGAGCTAAAAAGTGAGTTCTTCTCAGTTCTGGAAAAAGCTTCACATCTCAACTGGAAACTGTCCTGATTTGCTCTAAACACTCCTTCAAATGTTCGCTAGAGCTGGCCTAATCATCTTATGGTGCCAAATGCATATGCGGTGCTGTGAATTTCAGCTGATGTAAAACACAGTCCTCTATAACTCTGTCCAACTCTTGATATCTCTTGGATCCTAGAGTTGCAAATTGAGCCGTTCGGTTTATTGTCCATCAAGTTATCAGTGTGTTTATTATGGCCCATTCATACACAGCACTGCATATCACTCAGTGTGAATCTCTAAGTTTTAAAAACAAACTGCAGTTTGGGTTTTCATGCTGTAAACTGCTTCATCAGACATCAATCACGAGGCGGTGATAACATGCTTTAAAAATAACTACACAGGAAGTGCTCAGTCTCATTCCTGATGGTGTTGTTTGCTTTCATAACTCCTGAAAAGGCATCGATATTAAGTTCAGTGTGTTCCATAACCAGTCAAAATTTTTTCACAGGAACAGTAGTGTTACATAATACCATTCAACATACTCCTCTCTGTTTCCGCTCTCTCCTCTTCCTTTAGTAAAGTGCTGGTGTAGGAGGTGGTAGAGCATGTAGCCTCACCTGGCGGGGTAAGTCCATGTCCAAACAGACTCTCTTCATGACTCCGGACTCATGTTGATCCAACATCTCTCTACAGGCTCTTTTCTTCATTTATTGTGCTTATCATTTTAGCTTTGTCTTACAATGCTGTTCTCTTGTGCAATATGGCATTAAAGCGTACATG